GAACTGAATGCGCGTCAACAAAAAGGATATGATGATGCCCGCCAGCGACTGGCAGAGATCGAGAAGGCTTACGATGCGTCTGTTCAGCATAGGCTTATGGTCTCGGCCTTGCCAAGCACGCAGACTTGGGTAAGCGATATCTACACGACTCGATCAGCGCACACTAACATTGCAGCAGCTTAACTTCATACTCGGCGGGAATCCGGCTGTCTCGGATTGCGCGTCGCCCAAGCCACTTTCTTCAACACGACCTTGTCCAGATATCTTCATGGAAGTAGGTCACGCTGATGACTTGGCTCTGGACACCGGGAAACAGAGTCCTTCTTGTCTAGCGCCACCTGCGTCCATTTCCACCTCTCCACCGAAGAGACAGGCCGAATACATGCATGAGAAGTCAGGCAAACGACGTCGCCATGAAGCCTCGGCTATGGCATTGGCCGAGGAGACAGTCGGCAATGATAGGCTTTGCGACGATGGGAACGCGAGATGCGATCACAGAACCGTTCAAAACAGCGAAGGATGGTCTATCTTCGGGTGCAACGAACACCATGCAGAACTTCTGTGAAGAGCGGTTTCAAGGGCAGGTTCTCATCTGGGGGTCTACGCCCCCAATGGGCCCTCGCCTGCTCCTTCGCCCGTCATACAGGCTTTCGGCGTTGGACTCGCAGGATGTAACGAAGAAAGGGCCGAGCTGGGCAATACGGCACTCAAGAGGGCCTCGAATGCTGGGTATCCGGTGCTGAAGCCCACTCCGAGACACGACGCACCCGGAAGCGCATGCAAGCTGTGTAGATGCGCATCGGACACCACCTAATTAGCTCGACGATGCCGCAGAACCTCAGCGGGACACGCGGTGTTATCGGTGCCTCGGAAGCGACACTTGCGGATATAGAGGAGCGCAAATAGCGATGCAAAGGTTCTGCCGAGGACCGTGAGCGGAAAGAAGTATGGGACGTAGTCATCGGAAATCTCGAAAAGCGGCAGGTACCATATCGCAATGGACCTACTCTGCGAAAACGGCTTTCAGTCCGGCAGACGGGTCAACGGGAGTGAGTCAAGAAAACGATACTGCCAGCTTGGAGGATGGTGACAAGCAAGGCGCGAGACTGCATGTAGGTATTGGCGTAGATAACAGCGTGATACGTATGTTTTTGGCCATCAACGACATTCAGTAAGGATCCGTCCAAGTGTCTCTATCAACGCTTCAAAGTGCTATAGTGTGCAACGAGGCGTGCTTCTGGCACTATTTCGTCCTTCTGCTGCCGGATAACCCTGCCTCTAGCCTCTCCCCGTACCCTGGCCAGAGGCGCCCGCGACGGACGAAAGACGCAGAAGCACAATTTCATCATCTTCTACAAAACCAACTGTTTGCCATGGCGGGACATTGGGCATTTTGCTGGGCTTGGCGGTCCACCCAGCTTGTCCCTGGCGTGGCGGCGGTCTGGCCTCAAATGTTCAACGCCGAGAGTAGATGCCTGGGCGGCTATCGCCGCGGAGCGTTTCCGGAGCAGACCAGGCAAGGATTGTTTGCCCAGTCCAAAATTGGAAGGACAAGAAACAGGCCATTGCGTGCTTTTACGTCCAACGCTTATCCAGCGCTGGAAGACACTGTCGATTTCGAGGCCGTTTGTGCGCTGTGGACACACACCGACCAGGGGCAAATACGTTTGCCCTTGTTGTTTTTGCCCTTGCGCAGATTAGCCTTTATTCGCGAGATGCTGGTGCGCTTGAGTAAGGACCAGGGACTCCCAGTGCATGCATTGTGCACATGAGTGGAGGGCATTGGGCAACAGTCTGAAGAACGAGGCCGGCAACGGTACCCGCATGCCCAATCACGATTGACAACTCGGCCCCTTTTCGTTCCACTTTTGTTGTTCGCAAGCTTGGGCGGGATGGTCTTGGACAGCCCATCAATGCAAAAGGCGAGATGCTCAACGTCAGAAGTTAGTCCCTGTTATGTTATGTTCCAAAGTTCTTGAAACATGCGTATCCCATAGCATGACTGAGTCAAGTGGTGACGCGAAAGTCCTACTCGTAAGGCAGTCCGTTGCACGCCGTCATCCGCAGCTCCAGCCAGTGGAGGCCCTGTCCATGAGGGGCTGTTGCTGATTGTTACCGCCTCAAACCTGACTTAGCCGTCGTATCAGTTCGTTAGCTACACGCGGGCGGCGGCGGCAAGTACGGCATGCACATAGTAATTACCTGAGAGGCTATGTGAATACACTCAATCGCGCTGCCTCTGCGTTCCTTAGTTGGCTATTCATGTGACTTTTTGGTGAGGACATACCGCATTAGTATAAGATTGAATATTGAAGAGAACCGTTGTCGGTAGAGTCCTGAGTTGTGTGCTCATGCACCTGTGGTGCACTGTTATAATTACCTCCTCCGTGAATTCGTTGACCAGGGCGGCATCAAGACAGGCAAGCCGCGTGTGTCCCAAAGCGTCCACGTTGGATGGGGAAGATGCCATAGTAGGGTTTCGGTCCATCGAAGGGTGGGCCGAAATGCTCCCCAATGCCGACGTGAACAGGGGAATGACCGACTCTCCTGGCTTGGAACGCGAACCTAGATCATGGCTTGACTGTTCCCTAAGGACCGCCGAGGAGAGGCATGTGCCTTTTTCCAAGGTTAGTACGCGCCTGGTTATCTCAGAAAAAGTAGCAAATATCGGCAAGCGCATAACGGGTATTTTTACGTACATATCAACGAGCAGAGAGAATAGTAAATGTCAGACTGCCCCAGGACATTCGTTACGGTAATTGTTTCGCCTCAAGCGACCTGACTCATGCTTAACCAGAAGTATGAATAAGGCTAGCAAGGGTAACCTTATACAAGGGGGTCATACACTCATTATATAGATATGGGGTTTCTTCCCATAGCCATTCGTTCGTCATACTCATCAATATACACAGAATGACCCCTGCCTGTCTAACTGCTGCTCGATAGTAAATAAGCCAGATACTGGTTACGCTGTACTCACTGAGATACTGAAGATGCTGATAATGTTGAAAGCGAGAAAAGTGACAGCCCGCCCCCCGTAACCTCCTCAACATATGCTGAACGCTGTAGAGGAAGTAACAGTCAATGTTCTCATAACCTATCGTGTTCACAAGATGACATATCGTGTCGATTTATGGGTCCTTTGTTATTGTAACTGAAGGGAGCCGATGCTGCTGCTGCTGTTCCCAATAAGAAGGGACCGCAGGTAGATGTGCTCTTTCAACCCATCGCTGACTATGGAGTCGGGTTGGCAGTTCCCTCAGC